AGTGCAAGTCTTTTAAGGTATTCACCCTGTAGTCCCATTTTAATATATTTAACCTTTGTGAGCTCTGCTGCTCCACGACTGAGTCTACTGAATAAAGTTTCCATACAAGCTATGAAAATTACTACAGGTTCATTTCTTCCTTGTTTTCGTGATTTTATTTGGTTCCACACTTCATCATCAAAGTCTGACATCAAAAAATCCTTTTTCAATTTTATGACCAAAGTTTCCCAACTATTAACTTGTGTCCTGATCTGTCTAAACCAAAATGTAGCCTTACCACTGAATAAGTCACTAGCAGATTCAAAAAGTTCAGCTTTACTAACATGCCTTGCCTGAGCTACTTCTTCTATGCGTTCAATAAATGAAAGGAGATTTTTTGGTTCACCATCAAATTGAATATTCAATTTATAGACAGGAACTGACTTATGAGAATTCACAATTGTATTACTAAAGGTGTTAGCAGTAGTAGAAGCACTAGCTTGTGGTGTTAAAATAGTGACATTAACATCATCATCCTGAACATTCTCATTTAATTCAGCATCAAATTGCAGGGCTGTAGCATAAGCTTCATTCTTGAAATTCATTACGTCCCTATAATTTAAATCTTCCCGCTCTAACTTAATTCTGTTTATGCGAAAACTGATATGATTTATTCTAGAGGTTGCTCTTTTGTAAACAGAATCTGATGAAGGACCTTCAAAACCTTCAATAAGTGATTTTATAGAATCTAAAGTGGACTGAATTTCTACTCGCTCTGTATCAAAGTTATAAGCTTCATCAACTAAAGTCATTACATTCGTACCACTTTGTTTTTCTTTAAACAGAAGTCTTCCAAGAATTTTACGTTTTTCATCTTGATTCCGTTCGGAAATTACACCTCGAATTCTCAACTCATAATTCAGTTCAGCCTGCAGCAAGTGATTAGCTTTAAAATTTTGATCCATTTTGAATCAGTTCAAAATCAAATATCAAACTGTTGTTCCAACTTCTAAGGAAATAATTTAAATGTTGCAACACTGTACGTAGTATTGTCTGAAGTAAGAAGCAGTCAAACTGATTTAATTAAATATTAAATCACAAAACCGAATTCTCAAATATTATGAAACCTGATATGTGTATACTCACCATAAATCAGTTCATAAAAACCCATATATTTTTTACCTACCAAAACAAAATGTGGTAAAAACAACTCTCCTGGCTCTCCGTCAAACTATCAGCTGTTTCCAAACCATGAACTCATGAACATTTTATTCATTCGTCAACAAGACACTCACAACTGTTGATTACTAATAACCTAACTAAAAACTCGGGCCCCCACGTTCGGACGTCATCTTTGCAGCCCTACTTTTATGAAAAATAGGTGCATTGCGAACGGCAGCTCTTCGTCAGTAGGCACTATGAGTTCGAGTTATCAAAATGAGTTAAAATAGCAAAAAATTCAGTTATCTAGCAATCATAAGGTTAAACAAAAAAGATGGGGCGCCACTGCAACTTTTAATTCAAATGAAATGTTACCTGGAAAGTTGAGCAACCAGATAATGAATAATATTAGTTGTTCTCCCAGACTAAAAGACCTAAATTTACCTTAGAGATGTTGTGAGTTGGAGTGTCATGTCAATAAACAAATAAAACAGTCATATACAATACCCAAAACATTTAATTATGATGATAGGACTCATATATCATATCACAGGTTTTGACAAAATATGCATAATCAAAAATATTAGATACTCATTTCCTGTTAAGAAACTACACTGTTGTTGCCTGCTATTATGTGGATGAAAATATATATAAATCAACCTTCTACTGTACTTGAAAATTCAAAAGCTCCTGTAAGGACGTTTTATATTCATAGCAGATTTTTTAAAAAAATATCAAATGTGAATAATTCTACCAGCGCATAGTATACTATGTGGAGGGGAAGCATGTACCTTTCATGTGTGATTTTATCAATTTATGACCTGGCTATGATTTAAAAATGGTCCATTATACACACTAGCAATGGGCAATATGAGTGAATAAAAATGAAAAATAAAAATATATTTTCATGTCAAAAACCTGTATGGTGTGTCCTACACCAGTTATCCAGAGTAGCAATAAATGGCTTCAGTGCTACCAAATGAAGCTGCTGAGGGGAAGGTTGGCGGAGAGCGGGGTGCTGACTTCACATCCCTGGATGTCAGATGACATTGACAGAGTTGTCGTATTTCCACCTTGAAAAACCATCATCAGGAACAAACAGGGGACGATATCCAGATTCCAGATTCCAGACTACTATATAGCCACCAAAGGCCTTGTAGAATTAACAGATCCTGGTCGAGCAATGAGTCCTGGGAAGAATAGTGCTCCTGGTAGGATAACTCCCGTTGTAGAACTCCCGGTAAAAAACTCCCGGTGAAAAAACTCCCGGTGAAAAAACCCTTAAATAATTCATGAAATGAGGTTCTGAATTTCTGGACTGCAGAGAGAAAAAACGTAATAATGCGAGACTCACCTTCTATGAAGGGTTAGGGATTGAAATGACGATGAAGGTAGGCACGTGGCTGCCTGGGTGATGAACCATGAAGATCCTGCCTCTTAAACCAAAACCAGAAGAAATCTGTAGAGTCCAGCAGTCCTTGTAGATCAGCAACAAATCCAGGATATCCTGATGTGATCCAGAACGCCAGGCGGTACAGGACTTCAGAAGCCGGTTCACACCACAAAAATGGCACTTGACCACCACGAAGAATTTTCTGAAGTGAGCTCTTGTCTCACGACCAGAAAGGAAATCCCTTCTCCAAATTTCCAGAACTTCGAGAACAACCTAACAGTTTCCGCTTTTCAAATTGGCGGAAAATTTGAATATCCAAAATAAAAGACGTTATCGCTACTCCCTCCAGAGACTTGATTCTTCCCAGATGACTATCTGAACCAATCAGAATTGATGACTAAAATGACGTCACACCTTTCTTCACGCATACTCGGCTTGTTGGTTCGACGATGATGATCTAAGGACATATCAATCCGAATCGGCGTTTGGCGCATGACAAGTTTGACACTGTTGACATGGTGTCATGACCGACAGCTAATTGACGTAAAGCGAAATAACAGATCAACTCAACAAGATCAAAACATCAACCTGAATTTATCAAATGCATCAATCAAGAAAATAATGCCAAACGAAGTTAATTGATTCACCAATCACCATGGTCGATTCCTAGTGGAACCATCCGCATCAGCGTTCTTGGAAAATCCAATACCTATTGTCCTACTGTGATGAAGTTTCAAGTGGAAATAGCAGTGTGAAAAGTGAGTATGAGAATGTCTCTGAAATGGTATTTCATATTACTTTATATTATTTATCTCTTTCAGATAAGTTTCTGTAAAAACCATCCGAATCATCCTTCTACTTGGATCACAACAAAGCAGATATAGCAAGAGATATCAATGTATTTATAGAAATTGTATTTTTATTAATATGTACAGTGTGAAATCTCAGGTGTGTATCCACATATCAGGTTTGAGAATAATTAAATAATATGAAGCAGATTGAGTTCAATTTATGTTATTGAAAAATGTTAACCATGTTATTGTGACAAAATATCGTGTCAGATGTGCTCAGCATTACAGAATATTATAGAATCAGACAAAATATACAGTAATGAAAATTTACATGCTACAACTGTACGCCGCCAAGAATATTTGTCCTTGAGTGTCATGCGCGAAGCTGTTCAAAACTCGTACGCCAAGTGATCATATCTTCTCTTGGTTTTAGTATCATGGTGTGATCCCTTCTCAACACAATGATTTTTGAATCACATTATTATCTTCTTTTTGAGGGAAGATACAGGTGTTTTAAGAGAGAATGAAATTTTTCAATTTCAATTAACAATAACGCTGAGGCTAGAGACACGTTGATGTGCCTGTAATTCATTTATTACGGGCACGTGTACTGACGTCACTCGCCCGAATGATGAATTAGGTCTATTCCATCAATTTAATATGATATATTTTTTGATATGGAACAAAATTCGGGGTGTAATTTCAGTCCATGATGAACATGGGGCAATTCTCTTTTTGACGTATGCACATAGAAATATCGAATATGAGGAAGGAAAATATCATTTCTGCATAATTTTAAAAAAGGAGACTACTCTAACCAAACACCAAACCTAACCTAACATGTCAGCGTAAAATAATAAAATTGGAAATTAAAAAAAAGTTGAGCCTGGCGAGGATAGAACTCGGGCCCCCGGGTTGGCAGTCCGATACACATTAAAATTCATTTATTTCTTTCTTTGTAACAGCACATAAGACACACACATTGTATAAAAAAAGATGGTATTTACGAGTTCTAGGAACAGTAAATCCATGGGCCCTCCGTGTGGGACAGAGGTGGCTGGTGCTGGCCAAAGGAATGTGAACATGGTTGCCAGACCTAGTACTTTCGTACTAGTTCTAGTACTATTTCACTAAGTCTAGTACGCTAGTACGCCCACCACAAAATCCGTACGTTTCCACGATTTGACTACTCTAAGACAAGAATGGTGAGGGAAGGTAACGAACCTAGCAAAGATAAAATCAGTGTCAACCACAGAACTACAACACAGTTCTGTGGTGTCAACCTCCTAACCTAACCATAGAACCTTGGTAACGATATTTCAAAACGAAAAGAAGAAGAATTAACCTAACTTCTAACGTTCTGTGTCTCTATGATCTATGACTTGCTTTGCGTCACAGGTGATCTGTGGTACTGTGGTCACAGGTCACAGCTTACCAAGTGGGCAAGTGGTTCTGAGTTCTACTCTTAGTGTCTTTCATGAATCATGATCTGTCTTTCAATTCAATTCAATGTAGAATGTAGTGTAGTCTATCTATGCTGTGTTATTTATTAGTGTCTTTGCCATTTGTAGTAGGAAGAATGGAAGAATTAAAGAAAACAAAATAAGAATAAGATGAGATGCTTTGTTAGACCAAAGACCAACACCAATTTACCACGGTCACAGTAATGTATAATTATGGAAAGGTTTGGTACAAACTGATAGTGCCTTGCATCCATCAATTCACAAACTTCTTTCCCCAGGTACCTGATTCAAATACCATCTAAAGCCACTACTGCCAGTTCTGAAACTCCTGCATCTGAATGTCTTGATGCAGCACTCGATCCTACTCTGGAACATTCCCAGGAGGCACCATGCCCTAGTATTCAAATAGATGATGAAACTGAAAGGACTAATAAAAATAAAGATGAACCAAAAAAACTGAAGCAAACATTCCAACAGAAGTATAACAAGAGTTGGGAAAGTAGATTTCCATGGTTGCTATCAAAGGATGAAAGAAAAATATCATGCAAATGTTGTAATACAATTATAACATGCAATTTAAGTCATATAAAACGGCATGAAAATACAGGGAAACATCAAAGACTATACAAAAAGTCAATCAGCACCCCACAATTATCATCACTAAAAAAAGTAAGAGAAGTTAATACATTGAATAAAAAAACACAAATCGCATAATATAAATTATTGATGTTCCTACATGAACATAACCTTCCATTTTTATTAATGGATCACATACCAAAAATGTTAAGTTCTGCTTTTCCTGATTCAGGAATTATAAAGAATTTAAAATGTTCAAGAACAAAAGCAACTCTCATTACAAAAGAATGTTTGGCCACACAAGCATTAGATGACATTGCAGCAGATACACAGAATTGTTATTATTCATTGATTGTTGATGAAACTACTGATGTGTCAACAAAGAGTTATACGTTACCATAATGGAACTTGTGTAAAAGACAGATTTTTGTACTTGTCTCAAGTGAATTCATGTGATGCAGGTAGTTTATTCAAAACAGTGTGTGATGTATTAAGACAAAATGAAATCCCCTTTGAAAATTTAGTTGGTTTCGCTGCAGATAACGCTAGTGTAATGATGGGTGATAAAACTGGCCTGAAAGCAAGGTTCAGAGATATTAACCAAAATATATTTGTAATGGGGTGTGTTTGCCACTCCTTTGCCCTATGTTCATCTTCAGCTTGCTTAAAATTACCTAGAAGTTTGGAGGAGTTTATAAGGCAGATTTACAATCATTTCGCCAACAGCAGCAAAAGGTTAGAAGATCTGCATCAATTTCAGAGTTTCTTGAACCAGAGACCATACAAGATGTTACATCCAGCTCAGACTAGATGGCTCTCCTTACAAGTAATAAACAGATATGTCATGAGCTATTATTTATTAATTAGTAAATTTTTATTTTAGGCTGTAGTAGATAGAGTCCTACTATCCTGGGATGCTCTGAAACTTTATTTTACCAGTGCTGTCATGATAGATGGTCTTCGAAGTAGCCAAACAGTATTGGATAGTTTGAACACACGAATAGTCAAAATTTATTCACTATTCTCAAACTACATTTCAAATATTGTAAATAAATTGAATCTACAATTCCAAAGTGAAAAACCCAAAATATATATTTTGAGCCAAAGAATTTCAGAGTTATTTAGAACCATTTTAAGAAATTATATTAATGTTACACATTTGAATACAACAAAACTCAATAATATATCTCCCAGCAATCCTGATCATTTTTTACCAATTGAAAATATGTATTTTGGGTCGAAAGTTCAAATAATGATCCAAGAGGTTAATGATCCACAGGAAATACAAAAGTTTAGAGTTAATGCCCTGGCATTCTATGTAGAATTATGTTGCCAAATTAAAAAAAGATTTAATTTTAATGATCCCCTTCTAACATTTTTATCAAATTTTTCTGTCAATAAGGCTATTTCTGGTGAAATATTGAGCATCACTGAGATAGGGATTTTTTTTCCACAGATAAATGTAAATTTAGAAAATTTAAACTCTGAATGGAGATACTTAGCAGATGCCACTGATTTCAAAAAATATAGTGACATGGATTTTGAAGAATTCTGGCACAAGATTTTGATGTGCAAAAACAGTATGGACATGCCAATGTTCCCGAATTTGAGTAAGGTTGTCAAATGCATTATGAGTTTACCCCATTCTTCGGCTTGTGCAGAACGTATCTTCTCCCAATTGAATCTACTCAAAACCAAAGTTAGAAACAGATTAGAGGTAGAAACTTGTGACGCAATAATACATGTTAAAGATATGATTGGGAATAATGATTGTACAAATTGGCAACCTTCCGAATCATTACTGCAAAAAAGCCAAAATATGACTTCACCAAAAATTAATTATTTTTCACTTTTTGGTTGGTTTATAGAAACATTCTTATATGCAGCTAGCACTTTATTTCAATTTCTCAAAAAATGTCAAGTATAAAATAAATAATAAGTATATAAGGTTCTCTGAATACCATACAACTAGGTAAAGCCTATTCTTGAACTCTTAAGTTGATTTGTTGATTCAGATTTGTATGAGAAATGTTTCTCAGGGAATTATAGAGATTTTCAAACTGTTGATACCTACACAATATGTCTTCTTATTTTAAGCAATATGAAATGCAATAATTTATTTCACCTTATTTTCTTTATTTATGAAGCTCTCAATTTGTGATATAGGTATGCAATAAAAAATCTTTATGTTTTTTCTTTGTAGCTCTTCTTTTTCTGTTTCAATAATTGAAAATCTTAAACTAGTACCTTTTTCAAAAAATTAGTACTTTTTCGGATGATTTTCTAGTACATTTTGAGATGCAGTCCTGGCAACCCTGAATGTGAATGCTTATGTGAAGCATTCGTCACAGCGGCCTATCACCTAGGGCTAAGCCCTTTATATAGGTAATCTCACTGAGGGCACCCAATGGGTGGGGGAGTTATTCAATCGTTATCAGTGGCGATTGTTGTGGGGTTTTGAAGGAAAATAAAGAGTAAAAACAAAAACCTCCTTCTCGTTCTGCTCGGTCGGGTGTATCCACACGCCCCGCCGACATTTGGCTGTGAGGCCAATCGTCAGGCATGAGCGTGTTTATACATCCGCCCGACTTCAGTGTCAGCTCATCACACGTCGTGTAATCGTGACACTATGTTATTATATTAGTCCGATACGCTGTCGCCATGGCTAGCGCCTAGCTGACTAATCTAATAACGAGAGAAGAGAGAAGAACATCTAGATTCTAGAAGTTCTCCGTGCACGAGTGACGTCAGTACACGTGCCGAAATAAATAAATTACAGGCACATCAACGTGTCTCTAGCCTCAGCGTAACAATAATGCAGAACCATTGTTCTACCTTCTGTTTTATCAAGTTTTGAATTGAAGTGTGAATCCTTTTCGTCCTTTGTTGACACACTGGTTCTCAATTCACGGCAATATCTTCTTTTATAGAGAAGATACAAGTGTTTAATGAAAGTATGGTCTTTCACATTTTATAACTTATATTCTGTTAGATATTCCAGTGGAGACTGGCGGAGATGTACGGTAGCCTAATTAGGCTCATACTATGTTGCCATTCACCACACCCTATATGTAACGACTCGAAAAATAATCTATATGTTACAAAGGTGTATAGGAATACTGATACTCGTCACTAACAAACACCAACACCTTTATTTTAAACTAATGAACATAACACTTCGCAAGTAGGTATATTATATCTCACACGAGTATTCAATTCTAACTGCCCGCCTGATTCATTCTTCGTCCCGTAGCCAGTCCATATCGCTGAGTCAGAGCTGATAAATACAATCATATAAACAACATAGGTGATTCTGTTTGAAAGTAACCAGGGGCGTAACATTTCGGCCATCCTAGAAATAAGTGCGTCCTCGCCGCGATCCGGTTCTAGCGTGCATCCTCTACCTAAAATAGAAACGAGTCTGGGTGTCTTCCTTAATCTCAATAACTGGGTGAACAGGGATAATATTATTCAATCACAACATCTTTCTCGAATGAATTACTCAAGAGTGACCATAATAGGACAATCTCCAAATACCATTTATGAGCTGAACCATGAAAGATTCTGCTCCGCAGGCCATTATTCTGCCGTCCTGCTACGGCTATCTGGTACCATAACATGTCCTCCTTGCTACTATTACACAGGCCATTATACTGCCGTCCTGCACGGCTACATTCAACTTTCTAAAAGGTCGATCAGATCTTCAGTTTGTCTAACGGGACCATCAGAATCACTCTCCTCAGACGTACTCTCAGACGATTTCACTGTGCTCCTGAATGGACGCAGTGAATCAGACGCCACTATCGTACTGAAGGCCCTATACCCTTTCAGACCCTTAACGCTACAAATTTTATAACGATCGCCATGGAAAATTTTAGCAATGACGTAGGGTCCTGAATAAGGTTTGTTCAATTTGCTATTGACCCCTTTCTGCGTTACAGTACCTCCATCACGCCACAATACTAAATCACCCTTTTTATATTGTTTCGGTAACTTTCTTTTATTATCGTACCGTTCTTTCATTTTTTTAGCAACCTTCTCTACGTTTTCTTTCGCCTTCTTTCTTTTGTTGTCAATTGGCTCATGACTTGTATTGGCTCTGGGCTCAAGGTCTCCCAGAAGTCTCCCTTTATTATTGAACATAAGTTCGTACGGACTGTATTTAGTGCTATTATTGACCGTATTATTTATTCCCCAAAGAATTTCGGGAAGATTGACGTCCCAATGACATTCTTCGGTAGTAGAAGAACGGAGTGCATTGAGTAGAGTTCTGTGGTAACGTTCTATCTGACCGTTCGCTCGTGGTGTATATACGGCAGTCATAACGTGTTTTATTTGTTTAGCGCCCACGAATTCTTTGAAATATCGACTCGTGAATGCCATTCCATTATCGGATATGATTCTTTTTGGATAGCCCAGAAAAGTCCCAAAAATGTCTTGCAAGTTTGTGATGCATTCAGATGATCCAAGTGTGCGACTTGGTCTCGCAACTAGATACTTAGTTGATGCATCTATGAGTGTTAACAAATATCTGTAACCGCGTTTACTTCTAGGAAATGGCCCCACGTGATCTATATGAACGGTTTTCATAGGTTCCTGTGCTTTCGGTATCGGATATAGCCTACCTTCGGGTTTTCCGCTATTCCCTTTATTGTATGCACAGTCTAAGCAAGCCGCCACATATTTCTTGATAAACCTTGTCATTTTCAAAAACCAAAACCTATCTTTGATCAGTTGTTCACATTTCTGAAAACCGGGATGTCCAATCTGGTCATGATATTTTTGTAAAATGGCCCAACGTGCTGATTTTGGTATAACAAGTCGTTCACCATGCAGTGTTTTCCGATATAACCGGTTATCTTTCATAAGGTAATGGTTATTTAGATCTTTATTCGCGCGCGAC